GCCGAGGCGGTAAATCCTGGTCGCCCGGGGCCCGCGGAGGTTTGCTCGTCACAAATCGGTAAAATGGCACGGATACTTTAATTGTCTGCCTCTCGCGAACCTTATTAGAAAATGTTAGTGTCCCCGAGGCCCATCATCTCTTGGATACAGAAAAGCCTTTTACCTTAAAGGGCTAAAAGACAGACTGGACCGTGGCGAACTTGCCTTGATCAATCCTGTCTGTAGGGACTTGGCAGGTGGACATGCATCTTCCTCCAGGTGGTGCCTGCGCTCCTCCCCCAGCCCATCCCACAGGGCAGGTTGCAGATATCAGCGCCCACCTCACTGAATGCCACATTACTCTGTCGATTGCAAAGTCTTGTAAATCGCAAGGTGTCATTGTCATCGTTATTATTTGAACTCAGATTCTTACTGACATCAGATTCGCATACACTGCAGTGATTCTGGGGTGTCACAAAAGCCTTTCTATTTATCTGTCAGTATATCTATTTGATGTCTATGTCTTTCTCTTTGTACAAGGTTCTAAAAAGACTACTTTGGTTTTTAAAAATTAGCATCTTATTTGCTAAAGTTTGGAGTTCCAAAATCTCCTTAAATGTTTAAGCTTACTTTACATAGCTTATCCTTTCTTTTCCTTCCTCCTCCTTTCCCTCATTCCTTACTTCTTTCTATCACTTTTTTAAAGGGATTTTTCTTTCTTTCTTTTTTTTTTTTTAAAACAGACTTTTGCTGTGCCATTCAGGCTAGAGTGCAGTGGCATGATCATTGCTCACTGTAGCCTCAAACTCTTGGACTCAAGCAAGCTTCCTGCCTCAGCCTTCCCAAATAGCTGTGCCACCATGCCCTGCTAATATATTTTTGTAGAGACAGAGTCTCACTATGTTGTCCAGGCTAGGCTTGAACTCCTGGCCTCAACTGATCCTCCCACCTTGGCCTGCCAAACTGTGAACCACTGGACATGACCTAAGGGGACCTTTAATTAATGTTTGGCCTGCATTAAACAGGGATGTGAGAAATAAACTTTTATTTTGTTAGATCATTGGGAGTTTGGGAGTTTGAGGTTGCTAGGACATTTTAACTTACCCTGACTCAAAAGATTTGTTATATGAGCTGAAGGTTGATTATCATCCTAGCTCGATAATCTGATGTGTTCATCTCCCCAGGAGAGATAGACTGCTGCGTGACCCCAATTAATACTTTTGAGGCTGCTGAGCACCCACCTTCCTGATGAGGGTCTGGCTAGGCAAGGCAATATGTATTTGCTTTTTAGACTCCTTTTTTCTCTGCTTTCTTTATTGATATTCTAATTGACAGAGTTTTATTTAGCTATATCAGTGCCTCTAGGCAGACATGATGTCTTATTCACTAGAATAAGAGATTCTTTCTTTTTAAACAGAGGTTGCCAAAAAGTGACAAAATAGGGGGGAAATGTTATGACTCTGAAACACATGATAAAAGGGTAATTTTCTTAATTTACAAAAGGATCTTATACATCAGCAAGAAAAATATAGACAAGTTAATCACTCAAATCAAAGGGGGAAAAAAGAAAAGCAAATAGCTGATTAGACTAATGAATCAACCTCTCATCACTCCCACAAAGTAGACAAGTGAAAATGCTAAAGACTATGATGTCCACATTACCCATAAGGAATGAGTCTGTTCCCCTGAAGTCACTCCCAACCGCAACATTGGTAAAATAGCAATTAGGGCAGGTTAGGTGGTCGGTAATGGGTGGGGACAAGAGAGAATCGGCACTCACTATGGCAAAATTCCTCACTTGCTTGACTTCTGCAGCCCAATGGATGGATGGGAAGTCTTGTCTGGATTTGGGAAATCTGGAGTTTTGAGCTGACATCTTAGAGATCTATTGTCATCGTTTTACCAATGAGGAGATGAAAGCACAGAAAGATTGGCCTTCTTAAGCTTTCCTAGAACTGTGCCACAGTTTAAGGGACAAACTTTTGTAAACAAAAACGGAAAGACCTCAAATCTTAACTTGTCTAAGAAAATGCAGGTCGAGTTACCTTTTCAGGTAATGATTTCTTCTGTGATTCCAACAGATACCTCACACTTAATGTCCACAGTCAGGCTTATTGTCTTTGTCCCCAGGCCAGCTTCTTTTCTTGAATTTTAATCTCAGAGAATAACACCCTACCCCCACCCTCACCCTAGACTTCTGTGCCAGAGAGCTGGGAGACCCCGTGGGTTCCTTCTCTCCCTGTCTCAGTGTTGTCATCACTTTTGCTCATTCTGTCTCCTGACCACCTCTCCTAGCCACAGTCCCTCTCCCTCCCATTGTTATCATTCCCTGATATGGGATTACTTCAGCCTGAACACGGACATGTGTGACCCAACTAACTACCCTTGGTGATATTCCTTCACAGAGCAGCCAGTGACCTTCCGAAGACCCAAGTCTGATCACAATCACTGCTGTTCAGAATTCCGAGGTGTCGAAGCTGGGCATGGAGGCTTGTGCCTGTAATCCCGGCACCTTGAGAGACTGAGGCATCTTAAGATGATCATTTGAGCTCAGGAGCTTGAGAAGAGCCTGGGCAATATAGTGAGAACTCATCTCTACAGAATAAACAAACAAACAAATAAATACATTAGCTGAGCATGGTGGTGCACACCTGTAGTCCTAGCTCCTTGGGAGGCTGAGACAGAAGGCTTACTTGAGTCCAGGAGTTTGAAGCTGTGGTGAGCTGTGATTGTGCCACTGTGCACTCTAGTCTGGGGGACAGAGCGAAACCTTTACATAAAAAAAAGAAAAATTCCGAGATGTCTCCACATTAAGTAGAGACAAGGCACATCTTGGCCTGACTCTTGGCCACCTGTTCTGCCTCAGCTCTTGCCATCTGCTGCATGCACAGGTATATTGTGATACAGCTGATTTGCTGGTGGTTGCCCAAACATGCCACACTCTCTTGTTCCTTTAGTTTCTTCAGCCATTGTACATGCTGCTCCTTTGGCTCAGAATCTTCTCCTCTGCCCCCTCCCCATATCCCACATCAAGTCTCAGCTCAAAAGCTCCCTCCTCTGAAAAACACCATTATCTGAGATTCAGCTGCTCTCTTGTGTCTACTCCCACTGCATCTTGACCATGCCTTCTCTCTGACATTATCCTCTGGATTTTCAGGTGAGGCATTAGTATTTTGGGGACTTGATGAACTGGATGGAGGGGGCAGCTTCTACCAAACTTTAAATCCCCAGTGCCATCTAGGGCAGAGCCAGGTGAATGATCAACATATGTGTTGAAAGGAACAGATCATTCATCAGTAGACATTTGCCCTGTCTGGGAGCTCACTTCCAGTGAGAGTGATGGCTTTATAAGCACCTCGCTCTGACAGTAAGCTTGTGGGCAGAGAGGGCGCTGAACCTCCTCAAGAGTCTGGAGAGGCAAAGGGAATCAGGTATAAGTTTACACACACCTCATTTACCACACCATGCTGAAAAAACAAGCTCCAAAGTCTTGGCTGCTGAGCATGATGAGAATGTGTGGGGACTGAAGAGACTGATTCTGCTAGGCTGGGATCTCAAACTGGGACTGTTTTTTGGAGGGTGGGGCAGGGGAAAAGAGATTCAGGCCCTGTTTTCTCTTTCATTCTTTACAAGGAACAGCTGAAGGGGACGGAACATGGCACATCTTGATTGGATCCCTCTCACCTGTCCTGGGATTCTTCCTACACCCTGGAGCTGGCCTCTTCTCCAGCCAGCCACCAGTCAGATCTGGGAATGGCCCACTGGTTGGCCTTCTGAAGCTATCCCAGAACTGTGCCACAGTTTAAGGGACAAGATTTTGAAAAACAAAACTACAAACAAAACAAAAGACCTCAAACCTTAACTTGTCTAAGAAAATCCACTGCTAACCCAATAGCTTGCTTGAATGGAGCCAGGCACTAGTTAAAACATGAAAATGAATTTTATTCAGTAGCTACAGACAGTAGGTGAAAACAGTGATCTCTGTCCAATTTGTGCAGGGAGTGGGGAGGGGAAGCTGGCAGAGACTCAGAATCACAAAGTGGTGGTCAGTGTCACGGTGGCGAGGCAGCTGTGTCTGGTAGCTGGCAGTTATGGAGCTGGGATCCTATCCTCCCACAGAGATTGGGAGACAGCAGCCCTATTGTCCTTGATGGTTACATTTCAAAGAAATGTGTTCTGTCCTTGAGTTGTAGGAGATACACACACTTCTGAGTTGTAGGAGTTACACACACATCTCAGAGCAACAGAGAAAGGATGCACAAGTATAAGCCTTTTATGGAAAGTGCTCTAAAAAAGGGAGGTCAGGGGCCTTTTCATCGGAGGGCTATAATAAACAGCAAATTCTCCTGGCAGCTTTGAGCTTTCTCAGAAAGACATTTTATTGGTGAGTGGGGACAGGGTCCTGCTGCTAGAAGCCATGCTGAAGTTCCTTAGTCTTTCAGTACAGAGATTTAGACCGTTTTTTATGTGCAGAAGGTTCTTCAGTTATCACAGCGACCTGCCAGAAAAAAGTCGTTCCCAAATATGTTTAAATCTTCCATTCTGCAACCCACCTTCACCTTCTGGGCTGCCCTTGTCGAGCAACTGAGGGCGCAGTATCAGCAGAGAAGGGGGCAGTAGAGTGTGGGCGGGTGAAGGCCACGTTGCGTGGGTGACTGTCGCGTCGTAGGGACAGGGAAGAGGGAGGAGAAGTAAAGCGAAAGTGACCACCCCTGAAACACTGGGCGGGCAGCCAGCTTGCTTTGGGCGTCGTGCCCCTCCCCTGGCCCAGAGGACCCCAGAGCCCCCGGCTGCTTTCTGCCTCACGTCCCCCGTAACCGCGCAGTTCTTAGCACCGCCTTCAGTCACTCCCTCCCTGCGTGTAACCAGTCCTTCCACCTCGGCGGCCGACGAAGGGGTGACAGGGCCAGTGGTTGGGTCAGCTGTGGCTCCACCCGCCCGCCCGGGGTCTTAAGGGCCTCCTCGCCGTCCCAGCCCCATTCTCTGCTCGGCTGTGCCAGGTCCTCGAGCCCTCGCTGGCCATGGGCGCCGCCGGCTCGTGGGCGCTGGCCCGCCTCGGCCTCCCCGCGCCGCGCCTCCCCGCGCAGCCTCGGCCCCGGTGGCTCGGGGTGGCCGCGCTGGGACTGGCCGCGGCGGCGCTGGGGGTCGTCGCATGGCGTCGCGCGCGGCCCGGGCGGCGTCGGCAGCTGCAGCAGGTGGGCACCGTGGCGCAGCTCTTGATCTACCCGGTCAAGTCCTGCAAGGGGGTGCCGGTGAACGCGGCGGAGTGCACGGCCATGGGACTGCGCAGCGGCAGCATGCGGGACAGGTACGGCCTAGCCTGGCGCGGGACAGCGTGGGCTTTGCCTGGGGCGAGGAGCGGGGAGGGAGGTGAAGCCCGTCCTAGGGTGGGGTGGGTAAGAAGAGAAGTTTGCCACCTGAGTTTCCTGGGCTGACTGTTGGACCTTTGATCCTTTATCTGGGAAGGTCAAGTTTATATCTGATTTATTTTTGGTAAAGTAAGTATGGGCAATCCCCTGCCCTTCTCTGGATGAGAGATCCTTCCTCTGTAACAGGAGGGGTTTTGACCTGATTCTATGCAGGGCTCCTGCTAGTTCTAAAGTTTCTGGTTCTATCTCAGTATGGCCTACAATAGTAGCAAAATGGTATTGGCACTAGAGCGGAGCAACCAGAAGCAAGTGTTATTCAAGGACGCTGGCTTAGACCTTGCTGGGGCTTGTTCCTCACACTTCTTCAATCATGGAGTGCCCAGGACACCTGACACACTTTGATGAGGAATGAGGGGTGAAGACTTCTGTTGGGGAGGGCAGGTGGCAGGGGTACTCCCAGCAGGGATGTGATACTTGCCATTAAAGGAATAGTGTGTCCCCTTCTCCCAAAGCAAAGAATTTTGGGCAACATCTCTATCCACATAGGGACTGATGCATAGACATTTCGTACTTGGGATCAAGAGCCTTCTTATGTGACTGGGATGGTTTAGCTGTGGTTCTGTGTCTGCAGGGAGGGAGGGTTGCAAGTTGATTGTTCAAGGAACTTTTTAGCAGAGGACCATCTGCTGCCCTGTGTTCACTCCTGGACACATGTACACACTGTTCTCTGAAGACTGCTAACCTCTTAAAGAAATGTGGGCTTCCATTGCACTGGAAAGCTTCAAGGAGTTTTAGAGAAGTATTGTGCATACAAACCATGTGACTCGTGGGAGATCCTTCCATACCCCACCCCCATCCCAGATTTCTAGTCCTGGAGAGTTGTTTTAGGCTACAATTTCCTGAGATTCCCATCCCAGGCCAAATGAATCAGAATCACCAAGAGTGGAACCAACTCGTGTAGAGTTTTAAAAATCTCCCTCAGGTGATTTTGATGCTGTAATTAAATAATTTTATCTGAGACATTAAGAAGAGGATGTTTAGAGCTTTTTCAAGTATGAAGGGTAAGACAAGCTTTCTTACTACTGGAAAGACTTCAGGTACAGTGGGACTGGATACCCTCCAAAAAACTGGGAGAAGCAAATTCTCATGATGCACATTCCAAGAAATGGGGTTCTTCCTCACTGAAGAATAGAGGTTGTTTCACAGAGTTCCAGTTCTTATCTGCATTTCTTCTGATCACCTGAATCACTGTTGCTTTGCCATGTCTCATTATCACTACTTTGCCATGTCTATCGCTGCTATAGAAAGAAACTTATGTGTCATTTGCCTGTGCTTTTCTGCTTCCATAGGCATCCTAACATAAGTAAAACTGTGTAACCTTTCCCTTGCTTTAAACAATAAATGCTTAGGATGAGGAAGGGTGGTGTGAAGCCTGGGGTGAAGGGGAAGGCAATGAAGTGAACGTTTATCTAGTGCTTAACATGCAGCAGACACTGAGCTAAATCCTGTCCTATAGATTAGTTTATTTAAATTCGTGACAATATTATGGGCTAGAAACGATTATCTCTATTTTGCAAATAAGGAAACAGTATCAGAAAGAATAAGCATCTCACCTGGCTGGGCTCGGTGGCTCAACCTGTAATCCCGCGCTTTGGGAGGCCGAGGTGTGTGGATTGCCTGAGCCTGTGGTTCGAGACCTGCCTGGGCAACTTGGTGAGACCTCATCTCTACAATAAATCAAAAACTAGCTGGGTGTAGTAGTGCACGTCTGTAGTTCCGGCTACTTGGAAGGCTGAGTGGAAGGATCTCTGGAACCCAGCAGGTCCAGGCTGAGGTGGCCGGGAGAGTGCCACTGCACTCCAGTGTGGGCAACAGAGTAAGACTTAAAAAAAAAAAAAAAAAAAAAGTATCTCACCCAAGATCACAAAATCAATGTGTACTGGGAGGATTTGAACTCAGATCTGTGTGAGTACAGCACTTAAGCTGTTTCTATGGAACCCACATGTATGACATGAAGTATAAAGATTGCATCAGGGATCAGGTGATCTTGGGCAAAGTTTCTGCACCTCACTTTTCTCATTTGCAAAAGGAGGGTTGAACTTGATGGTCTCAAAGACATTGCCTTAACTAGGTTTTATTTATTTAAAGGATAATTGAAAATTTGAAAGTAAGCTTGCTGGAAAGAACTCTGTTTAATGGCTGCTGTTCTCGAAACCTAAGAATATGATAACACAACTACAGATATTCCTAGAATGCAAGGAAAGACCCTCATTTCTTTAATTCCATTCTGAACCTGTGTCTTTGAAACTGTTGGAAGAAGCTGGAGTTTTCCTCTATAAGTGCGTAGTCCTCAAATTTCTAGAGGCATTTTGTTCTGGGCTCTTAGTATACTTGTGAACACTTGGCTAGAACACTAAGCTTTGAGTGTTTAAAGTCCACCACCCAGAATGCTGTCTGGTGCAGCAGTTGGGAGCGTGTGCCTGTCCTCCCTGACCTTGTAAATCCCTGCTCTCCTTAGCAGCCACATATGACTTGATTATTTGCATCCGTCCAAACCTTTTCTGAAGACAACCCTTTATTTCTTCTGTGCAGACTATTAACTCTTGGAGAAAGGAATCCCCTGGGTGTATTATCCATTGTGTCATCCCCTGCCCAATTCCTCCTGCCTCTACCTTCCCACTCCCTGTGGTTTCTGCTTTCCCCACCTTCAGGCTCAGTCCTTCCTGCTCTCCAAATCAGTTTGTGACTGAGAAATGAGATTTTTTCTGTTGCTTTGGGCTCCACCTCCCTATTGCTATTGGTCACTCAAGGCACTCTTGCTCTTGGGATCAGAGCTCTGGGGTCCTACATATATCCCCTTACTGCATACTCACGTTTTACCCATAAAATCACTGGGTTTTAGTGTTGCAGACTAGGTTAGGGCAACTTGGTCATGACAAGATCTGCACTTCAGACTTATCCTTTCTTTCAGATCTGGCAGAATAGAACTAATTATTTACTCATTGGGCAGCATTTGTATACAAGAGGTTAAAAAATATAATTACCCAGGCTGACAGGGTAATGAGATGGTTGGGGTACGTTACAGATGGCAGCCTTTTACTTTTGGTTGTTGTCTTTGTCCTGTCCCAGTGTTGGAATCCCTGCAAGTTGCCCTGTGCCTTTTCAGTGACAGTGATAAGCAGGAAGCTTTCAGCCACCACTTCCTACTATTAACCCTAGCAGTTAACTCCCATGTTATTATACAACAGGTTGGAGCTGCAGGCAGGACTCTAAGTGACCGTAAAGGGCTAATATGTTAAGGGATAAATGGGAGATAAGAAGACCTGGTTCAGGGAGGGGTTGTCAGAAATGACATGCAAACAGGGATGTACCCCTGTCTAGACATGAGTCTGGTGTGTGAATATCTCAGAAGGAGTCTTGTCTGGGGATGGGGCATGTTAGGAGTTAAGCTTGCAGTTTTTGGTGAGGTTAACCAAAGAACTCTGCACCTAAGGACAAGGCTAGAAATAGGGAATAGGCCCAGCCGCAAGGAAAGGGGGTTAGTGGAATAGGCAGGATTCACTTGATTTATAGACCCCTCTCCCCAAGATGAGAGAATTAGAGAAGCCTGATTCTCTAGAAAGACACCTAGCAAGAAAAAAGATGGCCTCCTCAGAGGGGTGGTGACTTGCTACTGCCTACCACAGCCAGCTCTTGGGAAGGGAGTAGCCAAGACAATCCTCGAAATGCCTTTACACCATTGTACCATCTCACATGCCAGTGAGCAGGGCACACGCTACCAGCCATTGTCTGCTGGCTTGATTGCAAGGATGGGACAGTTTAGCCAGCACCTGGAAAGGACTCTACCGATAGAGGGGTTCCAGATGCAAGACTATCTGGCAGGGCTAAGAAAGGGCAGAGACTGAGCTCCCTGTGCTCTGATACTAGGTGTCCTCATAAGATTACCCCAGGCATTCCCACTTGGCTCCAGTCATATTTTGGAATGTCTCTGTAGAAAGAGCTTTTTATCCTACTCACATGTAGAGAGACTCTGGCTTTCAGGCCCCTTGCTCAATAATGTCCACAGAATTCCTCACCCACTTCACTTGTCTGCAGACTCTGTGTTCTTTCTAAAACATAGGACATTGACCTAGGTCTTGCTGGGGCTTCCTCCTCACACTTCTCCAGTCCCGGGGTGCTTGATACACTTTGATGAGGAGTGAGTGAGTGGGGTCTTCTGTTGGGGAGGGCTGGTGGCAGGGGAACTCCCAAGCAGGGGTGTGGTATTAAAATTTACCTTACCTAGTAGTGGGACACTTTTTTTTTGGCAATTCAATCATTTGTGTGGTACAATCCAAACCTATATGAGACTATAGACAAAAGCCTAATGGGCCAGGAGCAGTGGCTCAAGTCTGTAATCCCAGCACTTTGGGAGACTGAGGTGAGGGGATTACCTGAGCTCACAGATTTGAGAACAGCCTGGGCAACTTGGTGAGACCTCATATCTACAATAAATCAAAAAATTAGCCAGTTGTGGTTGTGCACACCTATAGTTCCAGCTACTTGGGAGGCTGAGGTGGAAAGATCGCCTGAGGCCAGAGGGTCGCTTTTGGGTGGCTGTGAACGTGCCACTGCACTCCAGCCTGGGTGATGGAATGAGTCTAACGAATGGGGTCTGGCCAGCTCATTCCTCCCTCCCCCACACTCTTCAGCTCACCCCATGGAAAATCAGAGTTCCAAAATACATGAAAACCGAGCCTAGTATGGTGGACTGTAGGAGCTAGGTGGAGGAGTTCTTATCTAACAGACTTTTGTGAGTCTTTGTTCTCCATGCAGGAATGTATACATGAAGAGTAGAGGCTGTTTCAGAAGTTTCCTGATACAGGACCCACATGCCGCAGCAAGGAACACAGAGTAGAGGCCAGCTTGGGTTCTCTTGGAGGCAGCAACATTGTAAGACCTTTGTCTAGGGCTCCAGTAGTTTTAGCCAAGCTCATAGTGTTCTATAACAAAAAGGCCTGGAAGACATTTCACTTCTCCCAGAGCTTCCAAGAAATATTTAAACAGGCCTGTGGAAACTTCTGACCAAAGCAGAGTCCCCAAACAAGTAACATGATTGTCTAAGTAGTAAGGGAATGTTCCTAAACCAGCCTCATTTTCTGATTTTTGAAACTGAGAGATTTTCATACATTGGCCTGTCTTTCCCTTCTCCTCTACCCACCCACCCAGGACTGTTTCTGCCAAATATGCTCTTTTTAGGATCACCAGCTTTTAGACCCAAAGAATTTGTCTAGACCTGAATATAATCGTCGAGACAATAATTATGGGTCCCATGTCAAAGCAGGTGGAGGTCTAATTAGAAAACTGGAAAAGATATTGAGGGGATGGAAGAGAGTTTTCTGAGTGTGCCCTTGTTTGTTTCTCTGCAGGTTTTGGTTGGTGATTAAGGAAGATGGACATATGATCACTGCCCGGCAGGAGCCTCGCCTTGTGCTGGTCTCCATTGCCTATGAGAACAACTGCCTGATCCTTAGTGCTCCGGGTGTGGACCCACTGGTTTTGCCTTGCAAGCAGCCTTCATCCAACACACTCCACGACTGCAGGTGCTCTGCTTGGGGGCATCCAGGGAACTGCAACAGGCCTAATTTTCCTTCAGGTTCCTGCCTTCTGTTTTGCTTTTCTGTACAGTAGATGATGACATTGATCAAGGAAATATTTAAGAGAGGTGCATTCTGGGTTGGGATCAGGCCAGAGCTGAGGGGTGAGTGGATGATAAGAGTGTTTATTTTAAAATCCAGGATTTGTTTTCGTAAGGTTTGGTAAGACACATAGACATGGAAATGACTGTCCTGAAGAAAGAAATTGTTTATACTATTAGAACCCCAGAGACAGGAGGCACAGCACGCCACACAGGTCCATGTGGGGAAGCGCCAGGGTCAATCAGGAGGCAGAGGGAATGAGGGGAAGATGTGGGTAAGAGCCTTTATTGTGGTTTCCACAGGAAAGGAAAAGCAAGGCAGGAAAGGCATGCTTAGGATTGAATAATATCCACATGCTCTGGGCACAGGAGTTGTCCCTGGTTATCTGGTACCTGGACCTGGGGTGACTATGGCAGGGGGCTAGTGACCCGGCATGTAAATGCTTAATAAAGGAAGTGGTCAGGGGTGTGGGCTGTGGATGGGCTGTGTTCCTATGAACGTCACACTTGTAGATCATCAATCTACTATTTCTAGGATTTGGCTGGCCCTGGGAGAAGCAGTTTCTTCAGTGTCAGCAAGGCTCCAAGATGTCAAAGATTCAAAAATGCAGGGAATAAAAAGCATTATTAATACAAGTTTAAGCGGGATACAAAGTATCCATCTTTAGAACTTGTCTCCTTTCCATTCGAGTCTTTATTCAAAATTGTCAGCTCTCCAACCAGGCAGTCAAGGTAGATAGTGGGAACTTTAGCAGCTGTATCTCAGGGCTAGATGATAAGGATGCTGGGGCTTTTCAGAGATGACTCTGCAGCCTGAGGTCTGCAGTTGAGACTAAGGTATGTCTGACAGGAGTTGGGTGTGAGGAATTTCCACGTCTGGCTAGGGAGACGCCTCAGGCCTTGACTCTTTTGGCCCATAAGATCCTTGTTTGGTTGTCAAGTTCCATGGCTTAATGGGATCTTGCTCTTCCATATTAGAAAGTCCTAGAGACTTAGATTCCTGTCATGGGATGAGTTGGATCCCTTTGTAACCAACTAACCATATGGAAATCCATGTTGTCCAAAGGTTCCATGGCTCAGAGGAGAGCCTTGGGTTACTCCCTATACCCTCATCTTATGTTTTTTCAAGCAAAGTGTCCACCACTCAGGGCTACCAATTTTCAAAAGTCTGAAGCAATAATTCACTGAATACAAGATTTCAGTCAATTATCTTAGCAGCCCTCTGAGGTGGATATCTTTAATTCCACTTTACAAATGAGGAAAGCAAGACTTAGATCACTGCCTTGCAAATCAGAGTGGAAATTTGAACCCACCTACCTCCTAGGCTTTTGCTTTTAAGACCTATGTGCAGGGAGAGGAAAAGCTTTTCCATAAATGACAGATTTTGAGCATAAATTCATTAAAGAGGAAAAGTGCAGCCATCTCAACTAGATTGGAGGACACTCGAAGCTCGTAGGAAGATACTGAGTTGACGTGTGGGTGACGGATGTAGCTGTTGCCCTGCAGACTCGCTGACAGTGGGCAAGTTTTCCCTCAAGGTTGACCTGCTAGGTAGGCAGAACTCTAGGGAGGCACAGATCTTCCTGGAGGGGAAGAGGAGGACCTTGTGGGAGGATTGGCCATGGTCTAACAAAGGCACCAAGTGCAGCCAGTCCTCATGAAATCCTATTTCACACATGGATTGCGTTCTCGATGAGGTGGGAATAGAGAGCCCGGAACTCTGGTGGTCTAGTGAAACCAACCTCTGAGAACTGTGTATTAAGATCAACACAGAGAGGTAAGTGATCAGCACATTGTCCTCTCCACCAGTTACATGCTCTCATTAATTTGGCTTGTGTTTATATACTGTTTTTAATGGATTGGTTGCCATGGAAACTTAACAAAATACCAGAGTCCGGGTGGCTTAAACCACAGATGTATTTCTCATAGTTCAAGAGGCTGGGAAGTTCAGAATTAAGGTGCTGGCAGATTCACTGGCTGGTAAGGGCCTTCTTCCTGGGTTGCAGATGGTCACTTCTTGTTATGTTCCCACATGACCTAAAGGGTACCAATCCCATCATGAGGACTCTACCTAATCCAAATTACTTCCAAATACCATCACACTGGGGGTGAGGGCATCAACATATGAATTTGAGGGAGACACAAACACTTAGAACACAACAGATCATAAGCGACAGAGTAACTGCCACAGCTAGGTCACCAGTGCTTAAAATAACCCCAAGTTGGGAAAGAGAAAAGGAAAAATTCCTTAACACAGCCATATGGATGAGCCTGAAATGCCATTGATTTATATTTATTTTATTTTTTCACTCATTGTTTGAAATCAGGTTTTCCTGTTCATCCTGTGTTGTTAAATTTTTAAAATAATAATTATGGACCAGTATAGCTTCTTGATTACCACAAGGATTACTTATGTAAAAAGGCCAAACCTATGTTCTAAAGTAGGAGGAAATAAGAAATGACTTCAACTCTGTATTGAATTTGTGGCTCAGTTTGGAGAAAATTGATGTGTGTGTGTGTGTATTAAATAAAGCATTTGGAAGAGAACTTGGCACACAGTAGGCACTTAACTAGATATTACTTCTTAAATAGCTATCATTATCTTTATTGTGCTGAGCTACCCTGTCTATAAATATTAACTGTCTTCACTTATTTACTTTATCTCCTTAACAAAATTTTATAATTCTATCCATAATGAGATTTAAAATATTTTGTTAGATTTAGTCCCAGGTACCTTACCCTTTTCCCCCCCTATTTTACATAGCAACTTTTAAAAACATTTTTTGTTTGCCATATAAAATTGATATTATTTATTCTTTAAATATTAGTAGAACTTATCTGTAAAAGTGTCTGGATTTTCTTCATAAATGTCTATTCAAGTTTTTATGACCTCTTAAGTAATTTTAGTGGTTTATTTCTGCTTTGTGAGTTAGTAGCTTACTTACTAATGAAATTCTATTGGTCCCCCAGAGAGAGGGCCAGTTTTTTTATGGATGTTGCTGATGGGACATTTTGTTTCAAAATAAGGGACAGAGTAGATATTGCAGGGGATTTTTGAATAATTAGAGAAGATGGAATGGTAGAGGGAAAGATACGGTCCATTGCAGGGATGGGAGACAGGACAAATGGAGGGGGACCTTCAAAAGAGGAAAGGGCATAAGTTAAACAGTATTCCCTTACCCTGTTGGGTGCTTTCTACTTTTCAAACTGCCAACAGTAAGCTTACCTGGATGTGTGCACACTGGGGGGTAGAATGTGTGCGCCTATATGCAAGAGTGTTCTGAAGGGCATGCTCAACCCAGGAGCACATGCTTAAAGAGCTGCTGAACAATGGATTAAATCAGTTTTAGGAGAAAGACTGACAGCCAGGAGGGGGCTATGAGATGTCCATAGAGAATGAGCCAAGGATTAATCAGAGACCAAATAATGGCTACAAAGGGGGCGTTTAGAGAGAAGGAAAAGTCCCAAGAAATGTTAAAAGAACAGCATCAAGATTTGACAATAGATGGAAGAGAAGGTCAGAAAATAGGAAACTTCTACCCTCAGATCAGGATTATGGGTTTCAGGGTACACAGGGGTTCATTTAACTGTGAGTACTTCATGTGCCCACTTTGTATTCCTTCATATACATCACCTCAGGGTTCTTCACACAGCTGTAAGCCTTCACATGGGGAGGTGCAAACACTTCCCATGGAATGTAAGGGTAGGGGACACTTTAAGGGAGTCAATTTCCAGATTCTAAATTTGATAGGTTCTCTTTTTAAATAGTGATCAAATCACACTAATAGTCAATTGCTGGCGAGTTCTCATTTCCCACCTCCCATATGTATAGAGGAAAGGCTTACCTCTGCTCACCGTACTCCTAAGGGCAATGCCCTCGGAGGGAAAAACCTCTGGTGGTCCCAGACAATGAAAATCACTGCTGTTGATAAAGAGGATGACCTCTAATAACAGGGTAAAGTCACTCTACAAGTTGGAGGTTCTAATTCTTTGTCTTACACTAAAATGAAGGAACCTCCAATCAAATTATTGCTGATAAATCATTAAAAATACTTTTTTTCTTTTGAGTTGGAGTTTCACTCTGTCACCCAGACCGGAGTGCAGTGGCCGCTCCGGCCACCGCAGCCTTGACCTGCTAGGCTCCAGCGATCCTTCCACCTCAGCCTTCTGAGTAGCCAGAATTACAGGCATGCGCTACCATGCCCGGCTGATTTTTTGATTTATTGTAGAGATGAGGTCTCGCCAAGTTGCTCAGGTGGGTCTCGAACCCGCAGGCTCAGGCAATCCACTCACCTCGGCCTCCCAAAGGCGCAGGATTATAGGCTGAGCCACCGAACCCAGCTCTAAAAATACTTTTTGATGACAAGTCACTATGTGGCAAATATTGCAGAAGGATTCAAAGAATAAGTGAAATTACTATAACTCAGCTTCTTCTGTTTATGTGAAAAATTTCCTAGGGCTTATTTTTAAAAAAGAACAAAATTAACGCTGAATCTTGACTTATTCTAGAAGTAAGTAAAATTCATTCAGATTAACGAATACTCTATAGGATTCACTAAGGAAGTAATTTCAAATAAAATCTGGCTTTTTATGTTCCATAATTGTCAAAATTTATAGCATACCTATTCCGTTGTGATCAATTGTACACAAACAAAAATTGTAGTGATAATTCAGAAAAAAAAATTCTTCATACTTGGAGCCTTAAGAAACAAAGAAAATTCAGTTGTTTCAAAAGAAATATAGTAAGTGACTAATAGCCATAAAACTATGTTTGGATAAAGTTTTGTCAGAAAAATAAAATGTATCTATGTTTACATTTGTACTGATCAGAACCAGTCCACGGTCAGTGGTCTTCTTATTTGGAGAAAGTTGCTGAAATCAGCCTCTTATCCCATCAAAGCTGCAGTTTTGACTGGTGGAATAGGGATGCAGTTAGTCAGCATCTATGAGGTGGATGAGTTGTAATTGTTCTAAGATTGATTATCTCGGGCCCAGTACTTGTTTAGCTGCTAGAGAAGAAGAAAAAGCTTGTGGCAGTTAGAACATAGTCTATTCTTTAAGTGTAGGGGTTCATGACTTAACTCTTAATTTTTGCCTGGCATGGCCTTGATATCTTACTGGCACAGAGTGTCTGTCAGTCTTATTATCTCTGTTTTAACATTAATGCTAATCAGTTGTTGTGTCTAAACTCAAGAAGAGAGGGGGGTATAATGAGGTGAGTCTGGCCTCCCATCTTGGTCATTGTTGGGAACTAAGTTTTTAAGTTTTTTGGGGGGGTGTTACCCTTGGACAAAAGGAAATCTATTCAGTTGGTGGGAGGCTTAGGATTTTATTTTTAGTTGATAGGGTACATCTGTCACAGGGCAGCCCCTCTCCTCTTCTGAAAACATCCTGAATCCTTGCTGCTGTAAGTGTTGTCCATGGACCAGCAATTTAGGTATTCAGGTGGTTGTTGAGATGAAGCATTTCAGACCCCAGCCCAGACCTACTAAAGTAGAATCTGCATTTAACAAGATCCTGGAGGATTTGCATGCACATCAGGTTTGGGAAGCTCTTCCCAAGAGCACATTCTACTCTTTCCTCCTCTGCTTCTGTCCAGCTTTGATCCAAGGACCATTTAATATGCCTCTGGGATAGTCAGATCCCAATAGTCCTGCTGTCCATCTTTGACACCAGCCCTCAGTGTGTTGACATAAGTAAGTAACCCGGTGTTCTCTGGTGACCTTTCCAGGATATTTGGTCTTGATATTAAAGGCAGAGACTGTGGCGATGAGGCAGCTCAATGGTTTACCAACTTCTTGAAAACAGAAGCATTCAGGTTGGTTCAGTTTGAAATGAACATGAAGGGAAGAACATCACGAAAAATTTTCCCTACTGTTGCACAGGATTACCAGGTGAACTTACAGAGCATTTATCTTTACTTCTACCTGTCACCTTCTCTTTCTTGACTTCCCTCTTGGTCCACAAAGAGCATCTCTATGGAACTCAGTTAGGAAAACATGGCCCAGACAAGTGGTGATGAGGGCACAATCTGGACAGAGGTACCAGGGATGAAAAGTGGATATGAGTGATGTCTTGAAAGTGAGATCTCTGGGGTGCGTGAAGGATTGAATAAGGAAAATCTGGTTTAGGGAGGAGACAGGGGCGACTCCCAGTTAGATGGAGACTCAGGAGAAAAATGGTTGGAGAAGGGAAGTGAGACTTTTTTTGTTTTTTGTTTTTTGTTTTTTTGAGTTGGAGTCTCACTCTGTCGCACAGACTGGAATGCAGTGGCCACTCCCGGCCACCGCAGCCTCGACCTGCTGGGCTCCGGCG